CATATACATCTCAACAAAATCTTGAGCATCTATTTAAATTAGACATCCCTTCTCTTTTTTAATATATCATATTTTTCTTTCTTTGATCAATACCCATACACAATAAAACAAATCTCTTTGAATTACTCTCGATGTTCAAACAACTCTATCGTTTTTAACATTAATCATCTGATTGAGGACAAATAGTTTACTGTATTTCATTATTTTGATAATGATCAAAATGTAACTTGATTAATTAAAGTTTGAATAGAATCGACAGTCTGGTTTATTATTCCTCGTAATCGTAGCAGACAGTGTATAACCAGTCAGAGAAGTCAATGTTTCATGGTACAGAATCTATATTTCTATATAATGCTCAGATTAAACAAAACTTCCATTAAATGTATCAGTCTATTAAGAATTCAATTCTACGTATAACCTTCTCAATCATCAATAAATAAAATGTTCAGAGTAATATTTGTAACATAAATTATTATATAAGAAAAAAAAATCAAGTAATTTCTGAATAATATCTATCAGTTCAAGACTATAAAATCTAAAATATATTGATATTTAGATCTAAAATATTTTTTATTTTATTCTATTTGTTTTTTCAATGCAAAACATTGTATTTTTTCAATATAAAAAAGCTAAAATAAAACCAAAAACAAGAAATAAAGATATATATACTGGTCTAATTATAATAATTGCTAAATTAGAATAAAATAAAATTTAAAATGATATGAACTATATAATGATGATATTTCTTATGAAACTTCAAGTACCCATGCTTCATAAGGACGAAAATCAAGCCAATCTAATTTGTTATCTTGTTCATAATTGCTAATTAATAACTGTTTATGATCATTCAAACGTTGAGAAAGTTGAATATCATCAATTTTAGTTTGTTCCTTACTAAAATTACATGCAATAACTAATTCTTGACCTTCATCATTATAACGTTTGTACATAAATATATGTGTATTATCTCTATGTAATATATCATATTTACCATGTATTATAATTGCCATTTGTTGGCGTAATGCAATAAGTTTTTGATAATAATAAAAAATTGATTGTGGATCTTCAAGAGCTTGTTCAACATTAATATCTACATAATTTGGATTAACATTAATCCATGGTATTACATTAGCTTCACCATTAGTAAAACCACCATGAGGTAATTTACCAGACCATTGCATTGGTGTACGACTATTATCACGTGACTTAGCATAAACAGCTGCCATTATTTCTTCTAATACTAAACCTTGTTTAACTGCATCACGATGAAAATTTATTGTTTCTATGTCACGATATTCGGCTAATGTTGAATATCGAACATTAGTCATACCTAAAGAAATGAAAATTCGATATAGAAATTTAATATATTCTATTAGTTCGAATAAAAATGGTAAGTTCAATCATAAACAAAGTTCAATTTCATTGTTGAAATTTACAATTTTTTTTGCTACAGAGTGCATAGAACTTTGAAGATATATAAAAGTTATATAAGTGATTTTTGAACCGAGAATGATATGAGCAGACCTTTACTTACAATAGTCATTCAAAAAAGTATCAAGACTCATTTTTATTTAAAAACAATAAGAAGCACTATTGCATTAGTATTGTTGTCTATGTGTAGTTCGTACAGTTCTCAATCTGTAGACGAGAAAACCCAAAATTTGAGCAAAACTTTGCGTTATGATGGATGAATTCTCCTTCGATATTTATGAACGTATGATAATATCTTATAGTGATAATACTTTATCATCTGCCATGGTTTTTCAATGGGTTCGTCATTTTAAAGATGGATAAGTAAAAATTGATATACGAACATTGTACAGTTTTTCAAGTGTTGTCCAATGTAACGTTCATCTTGAACAAATTTTAGACATATGTTATTGATCATGTAAAATGTCTTGTATCATGCATTTGTGAATGCTAAAAGACCCGGCTATTAATTGTTTTAATATTCACGTCGTCTACATCAAGAATCATCATCAATACTTAATTGTCTATCTGTAAAACTGAAATTCCGTGCAGAAACTATAGTGTATAATGAAATGTCAATCACCATAAATTGCTATCATATGTTCACGAACATTGGATGGGAATTGATCTTTCATTGCTAGAAACTTTATCATTGAAGAATGCTCAAATTTAAACATTTTCTATTAATGTATGTGCAGTAATCTAAAAAGTATTCCTATATATAGACATAGATATTTAACCGACTGTATGAACTACATACAGGTAACAATACTATTGCAACAGTGCTTGTTTTTAGATGAAATAAGTCTTGGAACTTTTTGATTAATCCTTATACATATATCAAAAACAGAAAAAAAACAAAAGAAAACTGTAAAATTCTGATTTCGAATTCAAACCTACGGATTTCTCGATGAACACTCTTAATGACAGATTTGCCAAAAGTAATATTCAATATTTACGAATAATTTAATCAATTGGAAGTCGTGAAGTAGTATTTATAGATTTTGATTATTTTGAGATTTTGGGTTTTTGAAGTAAT